TAATTTTTATTAAAATAATTTATAGAAATATTAGAAATAAAGCTGGTGTTACAAAAGAAATTAAACAAAAATATATTCTATTATAAGAGCAAAATCTCAAAATGAAATAACAGAAATTTTAAATAATCTTGAAAATTGTGAAATTAAAATTGTCAAAGGTTATTATTATTATTATTATTATTATTATTATTATTATTATTATTATTATATTGATATTTTTTAAATTACTAATATATTTTCCTAGATTGGGTTCAAGATAAAAAACAAAATTGGGTTTTAGCCACAGTATCACCTGCATTTACTAAAATAGCACATAATATTTGGATTAATTTACCATTTACAACTAATACTAGTGAATCAGCACATGCAACAATTAATACTACTGGTTATAATCTTTTATTAGTAGCTGCTATCCAAAGATATTATTTTTAATATATTTTATTATTTTTATTAAAATAAATAAATATATAAAAATTTTATTTATTAGATCTGCAAATTTTGATTCCATTAATAGAGTACAGCAATAACTTATGAAAAAACTAATGTGCAAGATTCATATCATAATAAATCTTCATTACAACGTACAATAAATTCAGCTAAAAGAAAGCGTAGGTATATTATTATATAATATTAATATATTTATTTAAAATTAATTTAATTTTTATTTTTTAGAAAAACAAAGTACAAAACAATCAATTGAACTAAAACCTAAAAAAAAAGCTCGCTATAACAAAAAATCTAGTTCCAATGAATCTTCTATAACATATGAACAAGAACAACTGTTAAATATTGATTATAAAAAATTAACAGTTCAGAAGAATTTAAACGATGAACTTGAAAAAGAGATTAGGCTTCGTCAACAGCTTAAATCATTATATAATTCCGAAACTAATAATGAATAATTAATAGTATTATAAGTTTATTATTAGTATCATGATATTTTGCTAAAATAGATGCTTATAATTAATTTTTTTATATAATGATTTTATTGCAATAAAAATATTAAACTTCTTTGCTTTGCTTGCTAAAATTATTTAATTCGCACAAAAAATAAAAATAAATAACTTAATTAATATTAAAAAAAAATTTTATTCTATAATAATTACTTACGTTATAAATAAATTACTTTAAAGTAGGCTTTCCAAAGTTCAGATATTTACCGCTAATAGCATGCATTTGATTAAGTTAGATTTTGCAGCAGTAATGCACCAGAACTTCGGGGCCTGCTCTGGTAATTGCATAAATACATCAAAATAACAGATTAAAAATTTTTGAACCTTTGTATTGTACTGTACAATTTTCTAAAAAATACAGTACAGTACACCTTTTATTTATATATCCTATTTCAGTATTTATGATATAATAAAGGGGTGTAGGGTACTGTACCAACAATTGAACAAAAAGTACAGTACGAAATTTTCTAACGTACAGTACGAAATTTCTATACTCCCTGCGTCGATATTCCTAACATCGAAACTATAAGAAAAAGAATTAATTTAAATCAAATAAGATTTTAATGATAATTTTTTTAATAAATATTGTGGCGAGTGGATCATGTGAAACGTGAATTTTTATGGGGGTATTCTGGGGTAGTTTTATATTAGATTTTAATCACGTGCATCGATTATAATTGATCGAAACTTCATATTTGCCGAAGAAAAAATTATATTTGGTCTAAATTTTGAGAAACCACTTAATTTTAACATTTAATACTTCACCAAATAACACAATTAAAAATTAAACAAGTAAACCGTGAATCTGAAAGAGAAGCTTCAAATTTATTGTTTTTATGGTTTATATTTTTAATATCATTTAATTTAAAAAACAAGATGTTATTTGAAATTATACAAATTTATCAGTGACGTGAAACATAGAACATTGCATGTTTGCAATATACGACTGAAATTCGAAGATTGACGTAAACTGTCCCAGAGTTTCTATGCGCGTAAAATAGAGCTATGAATAATGATTGCCCTTATTCATTTTTATTAGTCATTGTTATGTTTATTCTTATTAAAAAACAAATTTTCCACATAAAACATGAATTACTTAAATATAACATTCACCCTAATCATAACGCTAACGTCGAAACGTTACATATTTAGTAGTGGCTTTTAATAAAAAGAAAATATCAGGACTTTGTATTGTAGAAATATTACATATCGACATAAATATTTATGAAAGCTAAACTTCAACTGACCAGACCAACATGATCGGAGGCCCTCTAACCATTGATCAGCAAATTTTTATTCCACCAACGATTTGAGCAATCCTGAATCATCTCACATTATAAAACATAATTGTTAGATAAAACAGAATAAAATTTGAAAAGATAAAGATAATTAATCATATAAACCATAACAGAATAAAAGCTTAAGAAGTAGTTGAATATAGATAAAATATAATTGCAACATATAACTAAAGATGCTGGCGAAATTAAACTAGAGTGGTGAAATAATTTTATCACAATTGGCGAAATTTGGTGGAAAAAAAATATATTTTTGTTTAATTTCTTTTGTAACACCAGCTTTATTTCTAATATTTCTATAAATTATTTTAATAAAAATTA